ATCCACTTTTTTCACTTCAGATATCTGAGGTTTAGCACCGGCTGACACTGATCCAATGCAGAAAAACAGATGAAGAGTTAAATGTTTCTTTTTAAAATATGGAGACTTGTACTGAATTACAACTTAATCTGATAACTCAGCACCAGTACAGCACTTCAATACACCAACAGCTTCACAAGCTTGGTCAAACATGTAAAAGCAACTTTAATTTGTTCAGTCTGTGCAATTATTAGTAGAACAGTCAATGTTAAAACAATAATAAAGAAATTGAAATAAACAATAGGTTGACTATATTGGTCAAACATGAAAATAAACTGCAACAAACCTTTTTTCAAATGGTTCCGAAAATGCAATTAGGAATTCTAAATATAAGATACTGATATTAATATCAGATTGGTGCATCTCCACTCCAATCCAGCAGATGGAAACACGCCTTGTTCACGTTTTCTTTTTCTTTTTTTGCCCCATTTTAAAAGGCGGTAAAAAATTCACCTGACTATTGGAGAGAAACATAGCTACTGACTTCAGTTAAGGTCAGTATTTTTAATTTAGCACTAACAAAAAATAGGAGGCAAAAGTGGTGCATGTGTGAAAATTCAAATGTGAAAATCACTCCAGTTCAAACAGAGAAGAGTTTCAGGAAAATCTCCAGTGGGTTGACAAGACAGAAGTAGGACTTTTAAAAGGCAAAAAAACATAAAATCAGCAGTCAAACCTCAAGCTTAGGCACAGTTGGGTTAATGCAGTCGGACAACAATCTGAATCACTCCAGAAAGTGAACGGCTCAGAAACACAGAAGGAACTATGTAGTGTTGTAGTTACCTTTTTCACACAAATCAAAGTTAGTATAGACAGGTTTGTGCTTTCAATAAATCAAATCATTATTCAAAAATAGCTTTTCAAAATTGATTTTGGGGTATTTTTTAAATCAAATATAAATACAAAATCAGAAGAAACCTGTCAGGGAGCAAATACTCTTTTAACGTCCCTGTACGGCACTACTAGCATGTTTTACAATATTAATAAATGGCACCGCTTATAGGTTTAGAAATGCCTTTGTGTAAACAAAGGTAATGTGATCACTCCATCTCCACTCATCAAAACTGCATGAAGCCTCCGACGCGCACATGCTCAATGTCAGCCCGCAGTAACAGTAGCTTTCCAAGCAAATCCAGGATAAAGGACACAAATAAGAGAAGAAGTAAGTGAATCAGTCGTCTCTGGAGGCAAAAGCTTCTATGTCTGGGCCCTATTAGTCGCTTCGTCTCCCGCCAGACAACAGACATGAAAATCTCTTTAAGTCCACCCAGCCTCCAGCATCTACATGACAGACTCTCTCTCTTTTTTTTTCCCTTCTGCGCTCTCACCCAACCTGGCAACCAAGGCAGAGCCCGTCGTTATTCACGGGGTCGCTTTTTAAAAAGGAAAATAGCTGCCGACTCCCGAGGCGGAACCGAGTTCTCCCTCCTCACCCCAACCCAGCACCGACACTTCTGAGATAAAAAAAAAGAAAAAAAGTTCGCCGATCGGGGAGGCGGAAGGCTGCATGTGTGTGTGTGTCTGTGTGTGAGTGCGTGCGCGCGCACACGTGTGTGTGATATTGACCAGAAAAAAAAGGAGAGATGGCAGAAAAGATGGATGAAGCCTGGTGACATACAACCTGACACCTCTACAAAAGCAAACATCGACCACCCTCCTCAACAAAAGCCAGAGGGACAGAATGATGTTGCCGTTTTCCTCCTGGAGACATTTTTTTTTTTCTTTTCTAAAACCAGCTGCTGCCAATTCAGGTGGATTTTTTTTATTATTTATTTTTTTAACATCGTAAATGTGGCAACAAGCATTCTTCTCTTTGATGTCCTATAGACTGGCGTGCGTTAATGTCCAGCACATTGTGTGCTGATAGAATACAGTAAGAGACAAAAGCCTCTGACCTTGTGCGGCTTGGAGAGTGTGATAGCTGCATGGTTATAAGACAGATCGATATTCTGCTTTTAGCCGCGCACGGCCCTGTGTTAAAAGCAACCGCATCCCATTGTGGTAGTTTATTTCACAATGACATGCCAAACACGGTAAGCACAATGCAACTCAAGTCGGATCATTTAAATGTGATCCAAGTTAGGATATTTAGATCACAATGAGAAGGAGCCGAGCTGTGACCACATCACTGACTTAGATTTTTCATTTAAATTCAAATTTTAGCTTCTTGGTAGCAACAAAGCTCAACTTTTTGAACCTCTTTCTTTCTCAGAAGTGTGAGGTGACAATGCAAGATTTCATTTTTTATTGAAAGATAAAATCTGTGACTCTGACTTGCTCCTAAAACAAGGATTTCTGATTTGACTAAGACTGCGGCTCTGGGACTTGAGTCCAAGGAACAATCTTTATCTCGCGTAATCAGGAGCGAAAGTGAGCTGCTAAGTGTTGATTATCTGACTAGATGATTAATGTTTCCCTATTTAAGTCACTGTAGGGTATACTAATGACTGGTTGTCACGGAAACAATATGCAAGTATGGGTTTTCCGTAATGTTTCTTGACGGTTTCTCCCTGTTCTCCAAAAATAAAACCAGGATTAACTGATTTTAAGTTAATCTATAATTTTTCTTTGAAGGTAAATAAATATGAATGTTTTTAGTGGTTTCAACGACATATTGTATTAATTTTTGCACATAATTTAGAGAAGTTATTTAAATATCCAGAATTAAAAAAATCTAAAGGGTTTATTGGCAAATTTAGGCTAAAGAAAAAAAAAGTGTTCAGCAGCAGTTCAGTGTTTTAGCTTGACTAAGTGTTATAAATCCAATTTTAGAATGTCTTTAAAAGACTTGAGACTTGACTTGCACTTCTCTCTCAAAGACTTAAGAACTTGTGAACATCTATTTTATGAGCTGATGAAAACAAATGACTAAAACTCCTAATAACTTCACCCAAAAGGACACACATAGTTTCTGTACGTCACCAACTGAATTCTATTGTGTTCTCTTTTTTTTAACAGTCTTGAAACTATATTTAAAATATCAACGTTACGTGATCATTGTTATTCACTCGAGGCTAAATGCCATGAATGAATAAAACTCCCTGCCCTAAACTGATCTGCAATAAAACACTTCATCCTTTGAGACACATAAGTATACCGGAATGAGGATTCAGTGCACGCCTTCAGGCTGTTTAGAAACTCTTTAAGACTGAAGTTAATACACAGAAGGAAAGAAACAAAACAAAAAATAACCTCATATAAAATCAGAGTGAAAAAAAACAACAACCATGAATTTAGGAAATCAAATCTGCTAGGTGTGGGTTATGTGGTTCTTAGCAGAATTAGCTATGCCCTTTTAATGTTTCACATTTTGTCACATTACAACCATAAACTTCAATACATTTAATTGGGGTTTTAAGTGACAGACTAGAGGACAAAATATGACTTCTGGATACAGTTAAAGACTCAGGGATGATTAAATCTGTTTACAGCCTACAAGCAAAACGTATAGCAACATATACGAGAAAGGAGTGGCATGAATGAGGCCATAAAAAGTTATGTTTATGGTTTTCCAGAAGAAACCGCACTTAACTTAGGGAGGGTTAAAACAAATGGATGGCATATTTACATTTTTGTTTTTATAAGCAAAAGAATTTCAAAACCACCTTATTTCTTTCACTTCACAATGATGCAGTAAATTCTTACGGAAATACAACAATGTCTCTGACTTTAATGTGAAAAAGTTAATGGCATTTCTTTTAAAAAGCAAAATATGCAAACCATGAAACAAAACCAGCATTCCACGTCAGGTTTTGGTGGCAGAAGGATAGAAGGTTTCTGGTTTGAATTTTGGCCAGGACCTTGACTGTACAAACCTATCAACATTCAAAATTACATCTAAAAACACACAACAACTTTTCTCTCCTCTATTTATGACTGTTTGGTTTATTTGGTGTTCTGTTTCTAATTGTACTTGATTCTTGTGTTTAGGAAAGCTATACATATTAAATGTATTATTATTATTATTATTATTATTATTATTATTATTATTATTATTATTAGCTGGAATACCAGGTAACTATTGTTTTTGGCAGTGCAGCACCAGGTGTGGTACAAGCTGACAGTACCAGCAGTGGGAAATTTTGGGTCTCAATAAAGCCAAATATTTTTTAGGTGAAAGACAAAAGGTAGGTGACTTTAAAGTCTTTTTTTTTTACCTTTTCTTTTTTTATCTGCACTGCGGCTGGCAGGCAAAAAGTGCTTCAGCGTTGACTGGAAGAAACCGTGATTTAGATTTCCAATTTTAAATCCTTTTTAACAGCCTCATAACTTTGACAGAACTGACTAATTTATTGTATAGTTTGGCTGCCAGATGTCTTATGTTTTCTTTCTAGCATATAAAAGTCAGTTTTCATTTCTATTCTTTGCTCTGAAATTACATGAATCTGTCAATGTATTGTGCAGCTAAAATACTTCTTTTGCAAGATGCCTTTGCAGGTAAAATGTTCTATAGTTGAACTCATGTTAACTGAATAGACGTCAAACAAGTTATCTGATATTTGATGCGGGATTTTTAAAGAAACGCAGAGATTTAAGGAAGGAATTTTAACATTTTGGAGCTGACCCAGTTGGATTCTTTACTTGAACCTGATTAGGGTGATGGCAAAGAGGCCTTCCGGCCTCCTAAAGCTGATCACCAAAGCTGAGATCATTAATATACTATTTAAAACATGAGTACAAGCTATTCAGAAAAGGTTTGACTAGTGTAGCATTTTCAATTAAGTATTAAAGAGGATAAAAATGATTGTTCAATATGCCATTCTCAATACAATATAAACAGTTTTTTTTAATTTAAGCTCCTTTTGCAACTTTTTTCCTTATCTAATTTCCTTTCAGATACAAACCTCTTTGTTGAATAAATCAAAATCCACCAGAAGTGTGCATAATTTCTGACTTAACTGTACATCCTCAGAACAAATTATCATGAAGATAATTTGATTTTAAAAAATGCAGCAACTTACTTTTGTCCTTGATTACTGTAGCTGTTGTCGTAAGACTCATACCCTTGGTCATCGTAAGCGGTTCCGTAGCCGTCGTCATAATCCTGAGGTAACAGAAACAATATTGACTTAGTTAGAAGAAGAAGAAAACAGCAACCTCGATTTGAAAAGAAGCTCAAATCTCCATCTGAGTGAAAAGAAGTGACAGCAGTGGTACATGTACAGCTGTGTCACTTTGCATCTAATTCTACTTTTAATGTAACGCTGACATATCTTAGGATTCTGCCTTCAATTAAAATTATGGCTAATAAATAATTTAATTGCATTTTTAATATATTTATAGAAACTAATATCTATAAAAAATATTATTGCAAAAATATTAATAATAATTCTTGGTTTTCACTCCCCACCACCCCCCACAAACCAGTTATTCAAAATCTGAAAATTGTGCAGAGCACTAAAGTTCACCCCCCTTCATTAATAAACAGAGTCTGTTTGTGTGCGACTTAATCTCATTATAAGCCCAGCTGTTCTGTGAAGGTGTTGGAGGCTTTTTGGAGAACACTTGTGAACAAAACGCATCATGAAGCAATGCAGCAGACAGGTCAGGGGTAAAGTTGTGGAGAATCTGAAGGCAAGGGTTATGTGTGTGAAACAACGTGACACACGCAGGAGAAGGCGCTCTGCTCTAAAATTCTACTTTTGCTCTGAATATTTGGTATACGGTGGAAATGTAACTGAACAACGCCACCACCATGGTGAAACACGGCGGTGGTAACATCATGCTGTGGGGATGCTTTTTTTATTTCTTCACCAGGGGTTTTACATTGTTAGATTGTTAGAGCTAACTACCTGGAAATCAGGGAAGAATGAGTCTGAATCTGACCTGGGCTACAATAGAATGGATAAAGTACCGTAATGGATAAATAAAATATCTTTGCTCATTAGCAACCCGTGTCCAAATTTTTCACAACAGTCTGAATTCCGATCTTCTCACCCCCCAAAAAACTCACTGTGATCATTTTCAAAGTGTCTGAACAGTCATGTAAAATGTTATTCAACTTTTATGTTGTTGACGTGAGACATACATCATGACAGAAAAAGGCAGACAGGAAGTGAACGTTGACTAAAATAAAATCATAACTACGACATTATGAATGTAGTCAGTTTCACAGACGTGTATCACATCACAATCCCACCACTCATGGCTCTGATTTTAGCAAGAAGTTGGAATTGAGAAGCTGCTGTGTCAACGTGGTCTAATAGAGAATCATTGGGAAGAGTTGTTGATTGAAAGGCTGTTCTACAAAGTATTGACTAGGGCTTAAACGATTCCCCGAGTGATTCGATTATTAAAATTCCTTGAGGAAAATTTCTCTGCCTCGAAGCTTCATTAAAGTATGTTTTTATTATGTAGCGAACCATGTTCCGTATGGATCATTATTTGTGGAGGGCAGTGCTCTTACTTCTGCCTATCAGTTGTTGTGAAGTGCTAGCAGCATGGTTGGCTCATGGTTTTACAGTCACCCTCATCCCTTTGCACTCCAACAAGAAGAGCATCAAAGTAAGTCAGCCATGCGCCCGCCGTAATTTGGGATAAATGGGACTTATGTTCCACAAAAAGACGTCGACCCCTAGTGACACATTTCTCATACCCCACCCTGCTCTCATTTCTAGGCTAATTCCATCTGCCCCTTATTTGTATCCTCAAAGCAAATATCTATAAGATTTATTGAGAAGGAGAAACTGTTCATCACTCACTTATTACAAAGGTTCTAATTCCTGATTAGAAACATGCACTTGGCAAATGAAGGCATTTGAATCCAGTCTTTTATCTTTAATCCTCTAAAAATGGAGTGTGTGGAACCCGGATGTAGTGTAACTTGGTTCAACAGTTGCTCAGATATTGTTTTTTAAATTGGAGAGGAAGATGGCCTCTTCATGTAGTCTGTTATCTAGAAACCAGCATAAACGACTTGGCAGTCGTACTGGGTAGTTTGCTTTCGGAAGTCACGAGATGATTTATTTATGTCTTTTTTTTTGCTTTTTATTTTTTATTTTTGCTTTTGCAATGTAAATAATTGTAATTCTGAATCTGTTCCTCAAAAGAAAACAAGAACTGATAAGATGATGCCGTATAACAATATCAATGTCAACAAGTTGTGTTAATGAAGCTTGTTCTCACTAGAGAATGAGTTTGTTCAATCAAGCTAACATTCACCTTTTACATGCCAAGTAGTTTGTTAAAGCTAATGTTAGCTATATGTAAAGTTTTCATTTTGACTAAAGAGTTGGTCATAAAGTCAACATTTACAAGTCATACTTCTAAACTGTATTAAAGCTGAGTGTGAACTTCCTTTTTCAATTTCTTGATGATGATAATGGAGATTTTTCTAAAAACTGAATGATTTTTATGTTCAGAGGCTTATCCATTGAACTATGACTTTGAACAATTCAAACCCATACTTTAACCATGTTGTCTTAGAACAGCTTAGTGTTGGATGGGTCAAAAATAAAGGCTTGCATGAGGTTTCATATAGGTCTTTTTGAGAGCCTTTGTGCTGTCAACATGGAATATGTTGTCTACGGCCACTTCAGAAACATTTGACTGGTGGCAGAAACATAACCTGGGTGAAAAACATTTGTCATATGCAGTTTTGTTTCTTTCTTACATGTCTTGCCTTTTGGAATTTCAGGTATACCACGTAGAGAAGACGGTTGGTAGATGTGCCATTGCATATTTGCTCTACAAAATGTCTATCTGGAGATTGTGTGATTGACTTTATTAAATCCAGAATCAAAGTAGGCAGGTTAAATTGATATAATTATAACTTGTTTTTATACGACCTTCACCCGCTTCAATTATTTGTGTGTGTATCTGTGTTTGTATTCGATTCTAACTGTACAGTATGAACTACAGTTGAGGCTGTGAAGAGCAACATCATAAATGTGCTAAAATCCATGTTGTCAAAACCATTAATAATCCACATCCCATATCTGAAATCGACTTAAGACGCATTAAGTTTGCAGAAGTAGAGGTAGCAGCAGATATTTCTGATGCAAAAATTATAACAAAATGCTACAAAATATCAAACTGAAAAATGGTTCAAATCTGTTGTCTCGTGTCGGAATTAAAATGTGTGTTTTTGTCAAAGAGATGCCTGGTGTTATTTATCTCCTTTAAAAAGTGCCTTGTTTCAATCTGTTTTAAAGTCAGCTCTATTATACAATACCTTGTGCAGCCTGGAACCAACAAGCATGGCTGTGAATAATGAAAAATAGGAATCACAGAGGCTGAATAAAAAGTAAGGTTGTGTTACTGTAGGCGTATTTTATTTTTTAATTACATTTTCCAGACAAAGGAGCCGCTACTGAACGTCTCTGTGCTTTTAATGCAAAAAAACAAAAATGTAAAAACTAGAGTCTCTAGCTGTGGCAATATTACAGAGGACAAACATAATCAACAACCTAACAAAAAAACAACTCTCTTCCTAAAATACTGCTAATCCATTAGCAGTATTTTAGGAAGGAAGTTAGAAAATCTGAATTTTAAAACTTCCATGAGTCATTGTTTCAAAACATTTTGTGTCAAACAATAGGCCCATCACTATTCTATATTTATTTAGAGGCATAAAATAGTCACTAATATGTAACTTATCAATATAATAAAAGTTCTAGTGTCTGCTAAATAAGCAAGTCAGTGAATAACTAGCACATAAAATCACTCACAATTGACCAGCGAGCCTTGAGAAGTGGCCAAAGTTCTGTATGGAAACAGACTACTTTAAAAAATGCAACAGTAATGTCACGTTTCTACAGCTCATTAGATGTAAAAGTTATTCTCCTTCATTACCTTATCCTTACATAAAGAGGCTTTAAGACAGACAATTAGTGACAACATATGAAGTTTCCAGTCTGTCCAAACAATAAGTGAGAGCAAACTTTACAAAGACAATCGCAAAGTTTAACAACCGTGCTCCTTGGCTGCAGATGTACGTCAGTTGATGTGTTAAACTCAACATCAAACGTCTGATTGTATTTAAAAGTCAGCGTTCGGGTGCTTAATGACGCACTGTCATAAAAACGGACGAGCTGAAAAGGTGGGGCTAATTAAAAATAATGAGCTGCGTGGGCTGAAGTCAGTCCACCAACCTGAGCCACTCGTATCAGGAACCTTCATCTCAGCTCTAATGGCAAGCTATTTCAAGTTTGTGGTCCGAGTATCAGGTCATCGGCGGGGATCCAGCAGGGGTCCTGCGATAAAGGTAGTGTTTCTACGCCTTCAGACTGCCAGCTTTCATTTGATTTTAAATTGGACGCAATGAAATCAATTTCCCACAGCAGCAAAAAAAAACAAAAAAAAAAACACAAACCTAATCAAATGTGACTGTTTCATATGTGTGTTATTACATTCCTGTGCAGCGAGCAATGTCTTTGTAATTTACTGAAATAGTGTGTATTGTCACAACACAAACTTTTCTTGTTTCGTCTAATGACAACATCATTAAGAGAAAAATGTTTAAAGGAAAGATAAAAGAAAAAAACACAATTTTCGCTCATATTTGTGTTAACCTTTAGGTACTCCATATCTATAATATGCCATATAGAAGAGTTCCTTTCTTGCAATATGACACATCACAGCTACAAACTTTAGTTTAATTGGATTTGTTTACAGACCACTACAAAGTAGCACACAACTTTAAAGTCAAAAATGATACAGGTCCGGGAGGCGACCAAGAACCCAATGGTCACTCTGTCAGACCTCTGGCTTTCCTTTGCAGAGAGAGGAGAATCTTCCAGAAGGACAACCAATGCACCACCTGTGTGGCCAGATGGAAGACACTCCCTAATAAAAGGCCCATGGCAAACCACCTGGAGTTTGTCTTGAAGGATTCTCAGACCAGTAGAAACAAGATACTTTGGACTGATGAGACAAAGATTGAATTCTTTGGCATCATATTTGGAGGAAACCAGGAAGGGCTCATTGCCAGGCCAATACCATCCCCACAGTGAAGCACGATGGTGACAGTTCATGCTATGGGGATATTTTACAGGATCTGGAAGCCGGGATAGAAGGAAAGCTGGATGCAATAGCATCCTAGATTAAAATCTGCCGAGGTACATTCTTGACCTCCAACAGGGGCGACGGTTCACTCTTTAGCCGGCAATGACTCAAACACATGACCAAGATCTCAAAGGAGTGGTTTCAGAACTCAGTTCAAGTTGCAAAGACTAATTCTTGTTTTTACACCAACTTTATGAAGACCAAAATTATACTAAAACTATCCCATCTAGAAATGATTAACACTGACTAAAACTAAAAGGTATTTTTCATCCAAAACACCAAGACTGAGTCCAAAACTCAAATGGCTGCCAGAAAACAACATCTTGAAGTCAAAACAATCAAACTTTTCCCACATTGTCATACAGAAGTATTTGTGTGTAGAATTTTGAGGAAAGGTTAATTGAATAAAATTTGGAGTAAGGCTGTAACATTACAAAATGTGGAAAAAGTGAAGTAAATAGACTGAACTTATATAGCATTTTTCAATCATTTTGACCACTCAAAGCGCTTTATACTAGAGTCACATTCACCCATTCACACACACACGCCGATACGTAGGAAGTTTGGAGTTAAGTACCTTGCCCAGGAGCACATCAACATGTGGAAGCTGGAATCGAACCTGGAATCGAA